TAGCCCAGGCTGGTATTGCACTTACTATGTAGCCGAGGATGATCTAAACTTCTGATTCTCCTACCTCTGTCTCCACAGTGCTGGGATTACAAGCATGCTTGACCACATCTGGTTTGTGCAGGGTTAGGGATCTCACCTAGGGCCTAGTGCATTTAAGGCAGACGCGGAAAGATCCGGGCAACTAGTAGATGCACATGTTAAAGAGGGCATTTGCTATAAACAAATGTTTGTATTTACAGAATCGATAGGGCTGAGACCGAATCACCATTGTGATTGGGTATCCAGAGGTGGGGCCATTGGAAGGTGAGAGTAGAGCTTTCCAGGGTGGGATTATCACCCAGAACAAGAGGCCCAGAATCCAGGCTTAGTGATGAGGGCCTAGAATCTCAGCATTTAGAGGACTGAAGCAGGATGATCTGACTAACGTGTACATGGTCTTGGGTTCAACCCTGAGCACTGGAAACAAAACAAAAACCAAACTAAAAAGCATTATCACCCCTTCCCCCATGAGTGGCCTCAGGGAGAAGAAGTCATTGGGAACCAGGAAGTAGGCCTTTGATGGCCATGTTCCATCACCTTGAGGAAATGCACCTTGAAGGAAGAAAGGCTTATTCTTCTGGCTCAGTGTTTCAGAGGTTTCCATCCAGGGTCACTTGCCTAGGTCCCTTTGGGCCTGCGGTGACACAGAGCATCATGGGAAGGAGTGTGTATGGCGCAAGCATGCCCACATCGTTGCAGCCAGGAAGAGACAGAAGAAGACAGAAGAGCAGCACCGAGATATCCCTTGGAAGGTGCACCTCCTCACCACTTAGTATTTAACTTCCTTCCACTATGCCCCACCCCTACCTTCTTGCTTTATTTGTTTATTTAGATAAGGCCTCACTATGCCACAGGTGGTCTGGAACTCACTATATAGACCAGGTAGGCCTATATGCCTCCACTTCTCAAATGCTGGCACTAAAAGTATGTTACACACATACACACACACACACACACGCACGCACGCACGCACGCACGCACGCACGCACCCACCCACCCACCCACCCACCCACGCACTCACCCAACAGATCCAAACCACAGCAGGGTCCTAACCACCTATAGAACTGACCAACTTCCCAACTTCTGAAATGTATCAATGCATAAATCATGTACTTTTTGCTATTGTGTTGTATCAGCACAATAGAAACAGTATCACGTCTATTTCCACAGGGGAAATCAGTTCAAGGTCACACACCTGAAAAATAAGACAAAAAGGCATGGTCTCCTTGAGTGGATCAGGCTAGCCTTAAGCTCACAGAGACTTGCCTGCCTTTGCCTCCCAAGTGTCATGGCCCTAGCTGGTGGGGTCCAGCACAAGTCACTTCCTCTTTGGTAGATTGTGTTATCTCAGGCAGAGAGGACTGCACTTAACTTTATAAAATGGAACAGTTGCGTGAAGCAAGGGATATAAAGTTCTCTGCTAGCATACGTAAGGATTCTTTGAAGTCAGAAACCCCTTATATTAGTTATTTGCTATAATAAAATACCATGACCAAAAGCAACATGTGGAAGAGAAGGTTTGTTTTGACTTCTGTTTCCAGAGGGAGAATCCATCATGGCGGGGAGGCTAGGCAGCAAGTGGCAGGGGCAGGAAGCTGAGAGATCATGTGACCACCACATGAGGGAAGCAGAGTGAGTGAACTGGAAGTGGGGAGAGACAAAACCTCTCACAGTCTTCCCTCTAGAAGCCCTTCCTCCCACCAGTCCCCATCTTCCAAAAGTTCCACATCTTCCCAAACAATACCACCACCTGGGGTCCCAGTGTTCAAATGCGTGTGCTTATGGGGAGATGTTTCTCATTCAAACCACCACGTCTCGGGGGATCTGGAATGGGACACAAACCATAAAGCATGATTAAAATCACTGGCATGTTTCCTTAATTTGATTTGAAATTTCTATTTTGAAAGATTGTCATCCTTCACAATCCAGGCTCTTTGAACACACTATCAGATTTCCTGCTTTTTCAAAAGGTAGTAGCTGGGCTTGGTGGCACACCCTTATTGTCCCCTTTATCCTACTACTCTGGAAGCAGAAGCAGTCAAATCTATGTAAGTTTGAAGCTAGTCTGGTCTACATCGCAGTTCCAGTCAACCAGGACTGCACAGTGAAGCCCTATACATAAAAAAGCTAAGAGAAGAAAAAGGGTGAAAACCGAGCCTCATATCTGCTTTAGGAGTCAGGCAGGACCAAAAATACTATCCCTATCTTCCAGGAAGATGTATTTCTCCAGCTGTCCTTCATGGTTCTGTTGAGGGCCTTGGGCAGAGGACAACACGGAGTTGGGAAGGTTTGGGAACAGGATATGCTCACCCTTTCCAGCTTGCCAAAATATGCACACACTCCACACATACCCCTTCTTCCACTTGAGTCCTATAACTCAAGTTTGGTCCAAAGCATCCATGTGGCCATTCACAGCTGCCTGTAACTCCAGCTCCAGGGGATCCAGTGCCCTCTTCTGACCTCTTTCAGCACTATATTCTATACAACAACCTTTACAACACACACACACACACACACAAATATATACACACATACACATACAGACACATACATATAGACACAGACACATACACAAATATACATACATAG